CATCAACCTGGCCACCGCCGACACCGTCGTCATCTTCGACTCCGACTGGAACCCCCACAACGACATCCAGGTCTGTCACCCACCCGGCGTCACCCGCCCCAGCACCCTGTCACCCGCCCAGCACCCTGTCACCTGTCTGGCATCAGCCACCCAGCACCCTGTCACACGCTCAGCACCCTGTCACCCACCCAGCGTCACCTGTCCAGCACCCTGTCACCTGTGTGGCATCACCCACCCAGCACCCTGTCACCTGCCCAGCACCCTGTCACCTGTGTGGCATCACCCACCCAGCACCCTGTCACCCGCCCAGCACCCTGTCACCTGTCTGGCATCACCCACCCAGCACCCTGTCACCCGCCCCGTGTCACCCGACTCGCATCAAAACCCCGTCAGCTGTCCGACATCCCCCACCCAGCACCCTGTCACCTGCCCAGAACCCTGTCACCTGTCTGGTGTCACCCACCTGGCACCCTGTTACCCAGTACTCTGTCACCCACCTTGGCACCCTGTCACCTACCTGGTATCACCCACCCAGCACCCTGTCACCCACTCAGCATCACTCACCTGGCACCCTGTCACCCAGCTGGTACCATGTCACCCACCCCAGCACCCTATCAACTGCTCGGCATCACCCGCCTGGCACCCTGTCACTCGCCTGGCACTGTCACACGCCCAGTGTCATCCACCTGGCACCCCCCTTGGCACCCGGTGTCACCCACCCAGCACCCTGTCACCCGCTATATCACCCATCCTGATACCCTGTCCCGGTCCTCCCCCCCTGTCCCTGTGTCCCCCACTGCCACCACGTCCCCCACCACCGTGTCCCTGCTACAGCGTGTCCCCCGCCACCGTGTCCCTGCTCTGACGGGTCCCCCATCCCCCACCGTGTCGCCCACCACCCTGTCCCAGCTCTGACGTTCCCCTCGCCGTGTCCCCCGCCACAATGTCCCTACGGACGTCCCCCACCGCGGCCCTGCCGCGTCCCCCATCTCCACCTCCCTTCTCCGCCGCGTCCCTGCTGACGCGTCCCTGTCTCCGCAGGCCTTCAGCCGGGCGCACCGCATCGGCCAGGCCAACAAGGTGATGATCTACCGGTTCGTCACGCGCGCGTCGGTGGAGGAACGCATCACACAGGTGGCCAAGCGCAAGATGATGCTGACGCACTTGGTGGTGCGCCCAGGGCTGGGCTCCAAGGCCGGCTCCATGTCCAAGCAGGAGCTTGATGACATCCTCAAGTTTGGCACTGAGGAGCTCTTCAAGGATGAGAATGAGGGTCAGCACCCGACGGGGTTTGGGGATGGGTGGGACAGGGTGTGCCGGGCTTTGGGGAGGGATTTGGGAGGCCCTGGTGGGCCGTGGGAGGCTATGGTGGGACATGATGAGATGTGGGAGGCCATGGTAGGACACGGGAGCCCATGGTGGGCTGTGACTGGGCTTGCAAAGCCGTGATGGGTTGTGCCGGGTCATGGTGGGGCCATGATGGGTCACGCAAAGCCATGATGGGATGTGCAAGGTCATGGTGGGGCCATGATGGGTCACGCAGAGCCGTGGTGGGTTGTGCCGGGTCATGGTGGGGCCATGATGGGTCACGCAAAGCCATGATGGGTTGTGCCAGGTCGTGGTGTGGCTATGATGGGTCACGCAGAGCCGTGATGGGTTGTGCCGGGTCATGGTGGGGCCATGATGGGTCACGCAAAGCCATGATGGGTTGTGCCGGGTCATGGGGGGGCCATGATGGGTCACGCAGAGCCGTGATGCGTTGTGCAAGGTCGTGGTGGGGCTATGATGGGTCACGCAAAGCCGTGATGGGTTGTGCCAGGTCATGGTGGGGCCATGATGGGTCACGCAGAGCCGTGATGGGTTGTGCCAGGTCGTGGTGGGGCTATGATGGGTCACGCAGAGCCGTGATGGGTTGTGCCAGGTCGTTGTGGGGCCATGATGGGTCACGCAAAGCCATGATGGGATGTGCAAGGTCATGGTGGGGCCATGATGGGTCATGCAGAGCCGTGATGCGTTGTGCCAGGTCGTGGTGGGGCTATGATGGGTCACGCAGAGCCGTGATGGGTTGTGCCAGGTCGTTGTGGGGCCATGATGGGTCACGCAAAGCCATGATGGGTTGTGCCAGGGGTCATGATGGGTCACGCAGAGCCGTGATGGGTTGTGCCAGGTCATGATGAGTCATGCAAAGCTACAGTGGGACATGCGAGGCCATGGCAGGACATGCGAGGCCATGGCAGGACATGGGAGGCCATGAAATGTTATGCAAAGCTATGATGGAACGTGCAAGGTCATGATGAGGTCGTAATGGGACACGCGAGGCCATGATGGAGCCATGGTGGGACACGTGAGGTCATGATGGGGCTGTGACAGGTCATGAAAGGCCGTGATGGGACATGCAAGAACATGATGGGGCCGTGATGGGGCCCATGAGGCTGTGGTGGGACTTGGGGGCCATGATGGAACACGTGAGGCCATGATGGGACACGTGAGGCTATGACAGAAGGTGTGAGGCCATGATGGAGCGTGAGAGGCTGTGACAGGGCTGTGATGGGACATGTGAGGTGGTGACCAGGTGCGTTAGGCCGTGCCATGCTGTACCAGGCTGTGACAGTCCATGTCAGCGTGTGTCAGGCCATTCTGGGCCATGCTGGGCCACATCAGGCTATGCTGGACCGCGTCAGGTTGTGTTGGGTTGTGCCAGGACATGCTGGGCCATGCTGGGCCATGTTGAGCTGTGTCAGGCCATGTCAGGCCATGTTGAGCTGTGTTGGGCCATGTTGAGCTTTGTTGGGCCATGTTGAGCTGTGTTGGGCTGTGCTGGACCACGTTGGGCCACGCTGGGCCATACTAGGTCATATCAGGCTGTGTTGGGCCACTTTGGACCATGCTGGGCCATGTGAGGCCATGTTGTACCATGTTGCACGATATTGGGCCATGTTGGACCATATTGGGCCGGGTCAGGCCATGTTGGGCTGCATTGGGCTGTATTGGACCATGCTGGGCCATACTAGGTCATGTCATGCCATGTCAGGCTGCGTTGGGCCATGTCAGGCTGTGTTGGGCTGTACTGGGCTGTGCTGGACCATGTTGGGCCATGCTGGGCCATACTAGGTCATGTCAGGCTGTGTTGGGCCGTGTGGGGCCACGCTGGATCATGCTGGGCCATGTGAGGCCATGCAGGATCCTGCTGGACCATATTGGGCCATGTTGAACTGTGTTGGACCATATTGAGCCATGTTGGACCGTGTTGGGCTGTGTCAGGCCATGCTGGGCTGCATTGGGCTGTGCTGGACCATGCTGGGCCACACTGGGCCGTACTAGGTTGTGTTGGGCCGTGTTGGGCCATGTTGGACCACATTGGGCTGTGTTGGGCCATGTTGGGACGTGCTGGGCTGTACTAGGTCATGTTGGACCGTACTGAGCCATGTTGGACCGTGTTGGGCCGTGTTGAGCTGCATTGGGCTGTGCCGGACCATGCTGGGCCACGCTGGGCCATACTAGGTCATGTCAGGCCGCGTTGGGCCGTGTTTGACCGTGTTGGGCCATGTTGAGCTGCATTGGGCTGTGCTGGACCATGCTGGGCCATACTAGGTCATGTCAGGCCGTGTTGGGCCGTGTTGGACCGTGTTGAGCTGCACTGGACCATGCTGGGCCACGCTGGGCCATACTAGGTCATGTCAGGCCGTGTTGGGCCACGTTGGGCCATGTTGAGCTGCATTGGGCTGTGCCGGACCATGCTGGGCCACGCTGGGCCATACTAGGTCATGTCAGGCCATGCTGGGCCACGTTGGAGCATGCCAAGGCCATGTTGAGCCGTGCCAGGCGCTGCTGGACCAAGTCAGGCTGTGTCAGCAGCGTGTTGCCGGCGCAGGGGAGAACAAGGAGGAGGACAGTAGCGTCATCCACTATGACAACGAGGCCATCGCCCGGCTGCTCGACCGCAACCAGGATGCCACTGACGATGCCGACGTGCAGAACATGAACGAGTACCTCAGCTCCTTCAAGGTGGCCCAGTACGTCGTGCGTGAGGAGGACAAGGTGCGCCCGGGGGACGGGGACACGGGGACGTGCGATAGGGTGTGAAGGAGGGGGTGATGGGAATGGTGGAGGTGGTGGGGACGATGGAGACAGTGGAGGTGGGCATGATGGGGATGATGGGGATGGGGGATGATGAGGATGATGGAGATGATGGAGGTGGGCATGATTGAGATGATGGAGATGGGAGATGTTGGAGAAGATGGAGATGGGGCAATGGAGACAGGGACGATGGAGATGGTGGAGGTGGGCATGATGGGGATGATGGAGATGGAGGTGGGGATGATTGAGATGATGGAGATGGAGACGTTGGAGATGATGGGGACAATGGGGATGATAGAGACGGTGGGGATGATGGAAATGGTGGAGGTGGGAATGATTGAGACAATGGAGATGGGGGACTTTGGGGAGATGGAGATGGGGATGATGGAGACAGTGGGGACGATGGAGATGGTGGAGGTGGGCATGATGGAGATGATGGAAATGGGTGACAATGGGGACAATGGAAATGGAGGTGGGGATGATTGAGACGATGGAGGTGGGGGACTTTGGAGAAGATGGAGATGGGGATGATGGAGACGGTGGGGACGATGCAGATGGTAGAGGCAGGGACAATAGAGACAATGGAGATGGGATCAATGGAGATGATGAAGAGATGATGGGGAAGATGGGGACAATGGAGGTGGGGGTGATGGGGATGGTGGGGATGGGAATGATGGGGAGGTTGGGTGTGATGAAGACAGTGGAGATGGGGAGGATGAAGATGATGGGGACAGTGGAGACAGGGATGGTGGAGACAATGTGGATGGAGATGATGGAGACAATGAGGATGGGGGTGATGTAGATGATGGAGGTGGTGGAGGTGATGGAGATGGGGGACGATGGAGATGGTGGGGGTGATGGGGACAATGGAGATGGAGGTGATGGGGACGATGGAGATGAGTATGATGGGGATGATACAGGTGACGGAGGTGATGGGGACAATGGAGAGGAGTATGGTGGAGGTGGGGATGGTGGAGACAATGAGGATGGGGATGATACAGGTGACGGAGGTGGTGGTCATGGTGGAGATGATGGAGACGGTGGTGGGGACGATGGGGATGGGAGGCCACGGGATGATGCAGGGGGAGCTGACGGAGCTGGGGACGGTGGAAACGATGGAGCTGGGGACCCTGGAGCCAGCGATGACAGACCTGGTGGTGGCAACCTCAGGCCGCCGGGCTCTCAGCGGGTGCCCGCGGGTGCCCTGGGTGGCCGCTGAGGGTGCGTGTGCCGGCAGATCGAGGAGATCGAGCGGGAGATCATCAAGCAGGAGGAGAACGTCGACCCCGACTACTGGGAGAAGCTGCTGCGACACCACTACGAGCAGCAGCAGGAGGACCTGGCGCGCAACCTGGGCAAGGGGAAGCGGGTGCGCAAGCAGGTCAACTACAACGATGCCGCCCAGGAGGACCAAGGTGGGCACTGGGGAGGCACTGGGAGGGCACTGGGAGGCATTGGGAGGACCTGGGAGGGCACTGGGAGGGCGCTGGGACACACTGGGAGTTACTGGGAGGGGTTCTGACGCGCTGGGCACCCTTGGCCAGGAGAACTGAGGTGGGTACAGGGCAGCTGGGGGCACTGGGAGGCACTGGTGGGGTACTGGGATGTATTGGGAGGGCACTGGGACAGACTGGGACAGACTGGTCAGGTAGTGGGATGCATTGGGAGGGCACTGGGACAGACTGGGAAGCACTGGTCTGGTACTGGGACACATTGGGAGGGCACTGGGACAGACTGTTGCAGACTGGTCAGGTAGTGGGATGCATTGGGAGGGCACTGGGGCAGACTGGTCAGGTAGTGGGACACATTGGGAGGGCACTGGAGCAGACTGGGAGGCACTGGTCAGGTACTGGGACAGACTGGGAGGACCCTGGCGTAGACTGGACAGGCACTGGGACACATTGGGAGGGCACTGGGACACATTGGGAGGACACTGGAGCAGACCAGTCAGGCACTGGGACAGACTGGGAGGGCACTGGTCAGGTACTGGGAGGCACTGGGGGGAGTCCTGATGCCCCGGGTGCCCACACCCAGGAGGACAAAAGTGGGTACAGGGCAACTGGGAGTACTGGAAGTTACTGGGATGTTCCTCAGGAGGCACTGGGAGTTACTGGGAGGGCACTGGGACAGACTGGGAGGATACTGGGGCATACTGGGGAGAGTCCCAATGCACTGGGTGCTTGCACCCAGGAGGACCAAAGTGGGTACAGGGCAACTGGGAGCACTGGGAGGCACTGGGTGCCGTCGCTGGGGGAACGGGAGGCACTGGGAGCGCGCCCTGTCGGTACTGGGATGGACTGGGAGGCTACTGGGAGGCTACTGGGATGGACTGGAAGGCTCGGGGGGGAGTCCTGATACCGAGTGCCGGGAGGATACTGGGACGTTCCTCAGGAGGCACTGGGAGTTACTGGGAGGGCACTGGGAGTTACTGGGGAGAGTCCCAATGCCCTGGGCACTTGCACCCAGGAGGACCAAAGTGGGTACAGGGCAACTGGGAGCACTGGGAGGCACTGGGTGCCATTGCTGGGGGAACGGGAGGCACTGAGAGCGCGCCCTGTCGGTACTGGGATGGACTGGGAGGCTACTGGGATGGACTGGGAGGCTACTGGGATGGACTGGGAAGCTCTGGGGGGAGTCCTGATACCCTGGGCGCTCGCGCTCGGGAGGACCGAGGTGGGGTACGGGGCAACTGGGAGCACTGGGAGGATACTGGGACGTCCCTCAGGAGGCACTGGGAGGATACTGGGATGGGCTGGGAGGTACTGGGAGGCACTGGGAGTTACTGGGAGGGCACTGGAGCAGACTGGGAGGCACTGGGAGGGCTTGGGGCTGGCCTAGCCCACAGCCGGGGGGGAGACTTTGCGGGGCAG